GTGGGAATGCATCAATGCACTATGCGATACACACGACACTTCTTCCTTGAGGTCCGCAACTTCAGGTATAAATGTCTCCGCGCTCGCAGAATACTTACATCTTATGCTTCCTGGCGTCGCCAATGTCATAGGCAGCGCTTTGGTTGTAAGTGTCATTCAGAACATGACGCCACTAAAAGCGTGCTGATGCCACGGCGGTAGTAGTATCGGACTGACCTATAGCTGTACATTGTATTTTCAGGCTCATAGCTCATAGCGCTTGTGAACTTCCATTAGTAGGAGAGTAGCGCTCTTCAAGCCAGCGCTCAGCGTTTAGCTCGGCTTTACGGGTAAGCACTTATTCGAGCTCCTCGAGGTTGGTAACGACCCTTTACTAATAAGAAGGCATAGAGATGTGAATGCTCACTGCTTTTACAATTATTTAGCTGTTCAAGTTCAACGAATCAGATCTGACTCCTTGCCCTAACCCTTGCTCGAGTCATGTATCGAGACTGGCTAATGATCAAGTCCCGACTCCCTAGGCCAGTGAGACGAATGGAGATTCGTCGAGGGGTATCCGCGGGAGGTCCTTGTGCTGTTACTTGACTCCCTATTGTTGTTGAAGCTGGCATCGACCCGGTTTCTGACCATGCATGCGGGATTTAACAATCAAAGACATATGGAGGATGGGGGTATGAGCGGATGTGGGTTTCCGTGCTGTTATTTTTCCCCAAGTGAACATGAAGTTGTCGAGACCGACTCGGTTCTTAACCTTGGAGGGAGAGGTTTAAAATGTAAGCCATCCGATGAGGCTTTCCCTCAGCAATCTTATCTGCTACTCAACGCCAACAATGTCTTCGAGGGCCCCTGAATGTACCGTTTACCTTTTCTGCTGCTCCATTATCATCCCGACTCACGATGTTCCAACAGATGTGCATGATCTCAATACCGTTATCCAACGCCATCACTATGCAAGAGAGTTCAGAGACTCTCATCACGGCACCGAGCATTCTGGGTATTGGCTCTCTATCGTATACAGTGAGTTGGTGCTTCATCAACATTTGCTATATTTCTCATTAGATATTCGCTATATGATAGTCAATGGCCATGAATATGGGAGAGCCACTGCTAGAACCCGTACGCTAGCCCGAGAATACGCTGCCCGTCAAGCTCTCTTAGTTCTCAATCGCTACCCTTGACTCATTCGACTTTCCGCTTGGAATATACATACCTTTTCTACATCTTTGATTAGTCTTTACAAACATTTACGTCATATATCCCTAAGTGTTCATAATAATTGTACTACTGATAGATAGATGAATCGATAGCGTCCGCAGCTTGAGATATACAGCTTTGACCTCTCTGGAGATTAGGCGCCAATTAGGCACTATTGCTTCATTAGACTTTTTTAAATTAATTTTTTCAATTTTACAGCCTATTCATTACATCAATCAGCGTAAACCTGAAATCAGGATTAAGTCCCGACATCCCAGGCCAGTGAGACGAATGGAGTTGTATCCGCCGGAGGTCCTTGTGCTGTTACTTGACTCGGTAAAGTTGTTGAAACCGCCATCACCGACTAGGTTTCTGACCATGAATGCGGGATTTAACAATCCGAGGACACATGGACGATGCGAGTGCTGGTGCGGGTGTGGGTTCCGTGCTGTTACTTTTCCCCAAGTAAGCCTGAAGTTGTCGAGACTGACTCGGTTCTTGACCTTGGAGGGAGAGGCTTAAAATGTGAGCCATTTGATGAGATTCCTCCTCAACAATCTCTAGCATTTTTTACTGCAACGCCGACGATGCCTTCGAAGACTGAATGTCAGTAATGTTCGCATCTCCTGCTGCTCCATTATCATCACGACTCACGATTTTCCGCCAGATGTTCATACCCTCAACACTGTTGTCCAACGCTATCGCTATACAGGAGAGTTCATAGACTCTCATCATGGCCCCCAACATTCTGGGTATTGGAGCTCTGTCGTCTACAGTGAGTTAATAGTATTATATCCATATACATATGCTATATTTTCCATTAAATAATCGTTTTGTGATAGTCAATAACATGGAGTATGGAAATGCCACTGGTAGAACCCGTAAAGAGGCACGAGAATCCGCTGCCCGTGAAGCTCTTCTAGTTCTCCGTCACTACGCCTGACTCGTTCGACTTTCCGTTTGGGATACACATACCTTTACATCTTTTACGACATTTACGTCATATATCTTAAAGTCTATAATACTGTAATCTTTGACCTCTCAGGATATTAAGCGCCAACGATGTTGGTCGTCATTAGAAGTCATTATGTTCTATAGCGAGTTTCCAATCCATTCATTACATCCGTCAGTGTAAACCCGGATTCCGGGAATTCAGTTTGGAAGCACCGTCTTATCAAAATCCAATCTTGATGTGCAACGCCTAGATATTAGACTAAATGGTTAGCGCGACGTTAAGGACACAGAGAACTATACATGAAAAATCGCCTGGAATTCAATGTACCCCAACGTTAAAAAGAATTACATATTCAACATGAAATATTATGGTATGTATAATACAGGGTAAATACAAACGAGTGGATTCATAGCAGTACACGGAATCGTCAGAAAGTAGCAAGAGTTCGTCACTTCGTAATAAAAAGGTTCGGATTTTTCAAGTCCATTTTCTTCGTCGAGTTCTCCGACTTGCGCTGATCGTTAGTTTTTCTCTACCGCTTCCCATTACCCTGAGGCGCCGAGCTTCCACTCGCGCCAGGTACCAAACTATCGTACGTTGGTGGAATTTCATCCGGACCCTCTGCATTATCGACTCGTCCACCATCTTGGTGAACCAATACATCCCTCGATTGACTAGCAGGTCCAGCAGCAGATTTTTCTGCACCGCTGAACCTCCCAGGGACGAACCCTCCAACAAAATTCCCGGCATCTGTATCAGGATTCGCGATGCTGAACCTGTTTCCATGACTAGCACCGGCGCCACCAGAAGAGGTGCTCTGTGGGCCTACAGAGTACGGGTTTGGAAGACGCTCACTGCTTGATGCCAAGCCATACGGCGTCGTGCTTCCACTGCCCGCGACGGAAGGAGCACCAGTAGTGTCATATGCGCCGGAATATGCGGAAGGCGGAATGGATCCGTGCCCCTGGCTAGTTGAAACGCCTGTATGCTGGGCAGACATGGACGGAGGAAGCGTAGTCGTAGTAGCAGTGGTAGGGTGATACAAAGGATATGGAGCAATTACTGTTGGAACATCGTGAGTCGTGATGATAATAGAACAGCAGAAGAGGTGAACGGTATTTACCTCCTGCACCCACTCCTGCACCAGCTAACCTTCCGCCCATTCCATCGTCGTCATCAGCTGTAGGAGCGATATTCGGCAATGTCGGACCTTGTTTTTTAAGGCCCTTAGGCTCACCCTTTGGTGGCTTTTGAGTAACAACCCTGTCGGGATCGAAATTACCATCAAAGGCATCGAGAGAGCGTCGTCGCTGGCGACTTCGACGGCAAAGAACCACGGTAAGAATGAGTAGAAGGATGAGTGCAACCCCACCTCCTACAGACCCGCCGACAATGGCTCCAGTATGGGATGTACTGGCGACACTATCATTGGAAGGAGTGACAGTGACCGTGGCTCCAGGTGGAAGAGTGGATTGTGTCGAAAAAACAGTGGTAAAAACCTGACCATTAGCCGATGTAGAAACAACAGTAGTCTGCACCGTAGTTGTAACTGGGGCTGTTAATGTTGAAGAGGTGGGTGCGCTAGACAATGAAGTTGAGCTGCTAGTAGTGCTGGTCAAACTGCTACTACTACTGTCAGTGCTACTGTCAGTGCTACTGGTGCTGGTGCTGGTGCTGGTGGAAGACGAACTAGTCGGTGGCGGGGTGGAAGATGGCAAGGAAGACGCTGAGGAAGATGAATCGCTTGCTGTGGAGGTCGAGTTCGCGGACGACATGGTAAGCAAGTAAGCAAGAGCCTAGAGCCTAGAGCCTAATTAACCGTGTTTTAGGGGAGTGACATCATGAGCTTATTGCAGCGGGCCGCGTGGCAACCGCGTGGAGTAATTCTCTATTGCAAAACCATATTGCTATTTCTCCTACCGCAAACCGCCACCACACTAAAGACCAAGACGTGATTAATGTATACACGCCTACCGACCCGTCTCAAACTATCAAGGATGTGCCAGTACTGCTGATCACGTCCACAAACTTGGGAATAATCCCTTATCAGATGCGGCCAAGAGTTAAAATAGTACACACTACTACTCTACAACACTGTCGGAGGTCATGAATAAGAAATACGGAGATGTTTGCCTTGTCCGCGCAGGTATGTGAATCTTCACATTCTGTGGTGACTTGTTCCTGATAATAATTTTTTAAAAGCCCATTTTGACGATTTTTCTGAGTCTTACAAGGCCTGTATGGAGGCCAGTGAGAATAAGGATCTCCCTGGCACGACTCCCCGGCCCCTTCGTCAATCTTCGGAAAGAGCCAGTTTCTTTTCTTATATGAACATCGCGTTCGAAATGCCTCCCGATTTCTCGCACAGTGTGCTTGATGAGAATGGTATCTTTGGTCGGCAGGGCAGCGACCTTCCCGGTTTTATGATGCACAAGATTTCGCAAATAGAGAGTAAAAGAGTTGGAGTGATTCGCCGCAAACGGTATGTGGTCAAGCCGTGATTAATGTGTAGGATACTGATTTTGCTTTAGCACATGAACGTTACTTGATCGCTATTCCAACTCAAAGAGTTGGACTTCAACGAGTTTGTCAGCACAACCCAGGTTGAGACTCCAGAGCTCCAGCCCCTAAGTTCAGCATGGTGTCTATCGGGTTCAAATTCAATTCAGGCCGGCACTGCATTCGAAAACCTCCACTAACGCAACTCCCCGGACTCCCTCAGTCTCAGTCAAAGGTATATCAGCCCCAACCCAGGCGGTTTCAGCAATACTGAACTAGGCCGATTGTTTGATGTTGAAGGACGTCCGAGGATGAATTGATACGAGATTGGAATTATGTGCGCGCGTCGCGTGGTCTAATAATGTAGAGGTTAGCACACGGGATTTTGATGTGTCAGTCCTTTTCCCGTAACCCAGGTTCGAGTTCTGGTTAGACCTTGATAACCTTTCCTTTCAGTTTTTTCATCGGGCCTTTTGTGGCTTATTTTATTTATTTAATTTAATTTGCAGCGTTCAAGGCTAAGCCATAGCAACATTAGGGACAGTCGAAGTGGTGCTGAAATCGTCGCTGAAGTGTTCCCTGCTTCAATTTAAGCGTTGAGCGGCTCGATAATCGCTGAAACCATTATTTTTACTCCTTGATGTGATAAATGTATATTTCAGCGACTGATTATTTGCAGCTTTTCAGCGAAAATGAAAAGGGTCGGTCAATTGTTCCGACGCTGAAATGATTTTTCAGCAACCAAGGGGTATGTAGAAACTTAAGCGCCCATATCATGATGGGGAAGAGGGGGGCAGACTCCTTCCCATTCGCGTTTGCAAGGGGGATAATGAGAGTAGTGTAGTATATATCTTATCTAATCTGAGTTGTCATCAAAAGCTTATTGTGATTATCCCTTGCAAAGCGACTGGCATAAACTGCAGTGGCACATTGGCCTTGTTTGGGCCTTTGGCCATGGAACCAGTCACTTGGCAGCCCAAGCGCCCAAACAAAGCCAAAGTGCCACTGCAGTTTATGCCAGTCGCTTTGCAAGGGATAATTACAATAAACTTTTATGACACGTGAGTACTACACTCTCATTATTTTCCCTTGCAAATGCAAATGGGAAGGAGTCTGGGAGGGGGGTCCAGAGGCTCTTAAGGTCAAAATATTTTGACCATTTTAGTGGTTGTTTTCATGTTGAATGATGCTTTAAAGTACCATATATGTACAATTCCACATTTATCCTGTACTAGAGAGCATCAAATCCTCCTTGCAGGCAATACTGTATGCGCTGTTAATGTGGATGGGAGAAAGTTTGTGGAGAGCTCTGACTCACTCTGAACTGATGTAATAAAAGTGCAATCATGTTAATTGGCCTGAAATAACATCACATTAAAGGGTAAATGTCTTCAGGACACTTTGAAAAATTAGGCTCTGGCAACAGCGGCAGAGAAAAAATGTTAGGTGTGTGTGTGGGAATTAATTACTATATAAGGATAAAGGAGGTGGGGAGGGGGTTTCGGAAGCCTTAAGGTCTACAACGTGATATCCAAAATTTTTATTTTGCATACCCCTTGTCAGCGACTTTGTTTTATTCTTTCAGTGCCCTTTCAGCGGCATTTTATTTCCCGCTTTGACCGTCCCTATTGTTTAGAGAGAAGAAAATAATATTGATTGTATGGGTGTATGTATGTAAAACAGAAAACAGAAACCAACTGGAACTGAGTGAGTGAGAGGGAAAAAGAGATATAAAGTACAGATATGTACTGGAGTTGATTTTTAGAGTAGCGATAGGTAGTGTAGCAAATATGAGAAAAAAAAGACAAGCAACGATTTATACAAAGGAGAAAAATTAGGGTTCTGAACCGCCATCCCATCCTACCAATCATCAAAAGTCTACCACACTAGGCTTTCATCAAGAAATATCTATCTTCTTCTTCTTCTCCTTTGTCTTCATCGTCTTCAGCCCTCCCAACCTCAATACTCAAGACAAATGGAAGCTCCCCAAACCCTCCTTGATCGCTACACCCAACTTGTCCTTCATAACCTTCTTGCTCGAATACTCGGGCAGCTTGAGATAGTTCACACACGTCATTACACTTGGGAGATAGTCGTCCGCCGTCAGAGGTGCCTCATGTGGCTTGCGCACAACAGTGAGCGGGGGGCTAAGGCCGCGGAAACCTGTGTTACCAACGTAAGAAAATGCATCGTCGGCAAAAACCAAGAAAAACAAACCTCCAATAGGCAACTTCGGGCTCCCAGTAATAAACTGCAAAAAGTCCCTCCTCGTGCTCGGATTGTACTCTGCCATGATCTCAATGAGATCCCTGATCGCACGGCTCTCAGGATTGAAGCCATGGTCTGCTTTGAGAGCTTCTCCGAGAGCTGAGCGACAAATCAATAAATGTAACTAATAATGAGCCGTCATAAATTCAAATCTCACATTCGGTGCTCCAATCCTCTTCTCCATTCCCAAACAACATCACCAATTCATCGACCGAGAACGATTGTAGATCACCGATCGGGAACACTTTGCTGAATCCCTCACGGAAAGCTCGAGCTTGCAGTGCGCTTCCGGATCCGATGATGGCATCGAGGACGAGGGAGACGTATTCGGATACATTGGCGGATGTGACAGGGATGTCTTTTCCTGAGGGCTGTAGAAATGGTAGATGTATTAGTGTTCAGCTCTTGGAATATATGGGGAAAAACTACATACCTTCAACTCGATATCATATCCTGGCAAGGTAAAGTCCAACGCGAGATCTTCAACAGTGACCGACGCTTCGACTAGCGCTAGCTTCTTCGCCAGCTAAATAGAAGTTAGCCTTGGTAGCATGTGTTGAGAATGAGGGATATACCTTGGTGTCGCTCGGTCGGTTGTTGTTTTTGCTTCTCGGATGCAGATGCAATCGTCAAAAGTTTGGTGAGGGAGTTAGCTAGATCGACGTCAACGAGCTAAAGGGGGGGAATGAGTTATTTGAGGGGAGATTCCTGTAAGAGATGCATACCTGAAGCGATGCAATAGTCAAGGGAACTTCCTCTCCCAACACGAGCTTGAGAAATATCTTGTTGAATGACAGGTCGATGATACGCGAGTCAAGCAGCGCCTTGGCCACGAATTGACCGATGACTCTGAAGATATGTGTCCGTTTTCTGAAAGAGAAGGTATCAGTCAGTATACACATACTGGATAGTGTGCTGTGAACACTCACTGGCCCCCATCATTAGCCATATCCTCCGCTCCGATCGGCGCAGGATACAGCCCACTCGGATGGTTCACAAACGATCCATTCCCAGCCGCACCATGATCCACATCTCTCCAAATCTTCAAATCCTTCCTCGCAAACTCCTTTGACACCAGCGAATAAAACTCCAACGTTGGTCCCAAAGCCCGTTCCAACTTCCTCAAAGTACTCCACTTCAAGAACCGAGGATGAGGAGCCGTAGAGTTCGAACACCTTTACCGCACTCTCCAAGATGTGTTTCCTCGATATGCGCACCTTTTGTCGTTGCAACCGTCCAAGGAACCCGATGCCATCATCCCGTCTCGAGTTGTCTTGTCCGCCGCGTGACTGCTGTGATTGCCACTTGAGGATGAGTCGTGCATAGCCGAAGGAAGTTGACTGGAGGAAGTTGTACCTCGTAGCGAATGGGAAAAGGAACGGGAAATGTTGAGGAAGGTCAAGGGCCCAGTCAGGTAAGCAGGAGCTGGATAATAAGGATTAGCGCAGGATTTGTAATTTATTCAGGAGCTTACCTAGCGACGATCATCGTCTCCTCCAATTGACGAGTCAGCTTCGCACTCAGTTTGTTGTTCACAAACGCAGTCTCCGGAAGGTTTCGTTTCTCACCACTAAACAATGATCCTTCCGCCTCGAGACTGTTCAGTTGATGTAGAACACGAAGTAAGCGGAGGACTTTGGCGTGCGGGGCGTCATCAGCGAGAGAGGACAGTGGTGGCGTCGAGGATCGCGTTTTGATACTCGACTCGGAGCCATCTATGGAAAGACCAACTTAGTTGGTATTGGAGACTGAATGGAATGGAAAACTTACTGTCAGAGGCCGGCGCAGGACCAGAAACTTTCTTGAACTTGATCGTATATACACCCTGCCATAACAGACTTGGAGGTACGGGACCAGTCTTTTTCCTCATCTCATGCTGATGAATAGCACCGTAGATCGTCAGATCTAGCGGTAGAACATGATCATCCATAGCAAACTCCAAATGCCAATCAGTAGGTTTCGCCTTCAAAGCAGAAGCATAGGAAGGTCGGGATGAAGTAGAAGGTCTCAATGATGAGGATGCTCCCTGGCTCATCGACACGCTCGGGTTAGGTGTCGCCACCCGCGTTCCATCGGGTGTTTGAGCTTCGACTTTCGATCCATCTTCGGCGACAGACAAAGTGACAGTCTTGTCAGATATTGAGGTATCGGGGTTGACCTCTTCGTCATCGAACACTTCCGCATCTACTTCCTCATCTGAAAACTCAGCCTGCATTTCAGAGTCAACGACCGTCTCACTGGGTGCTGATTCTGGAGCCGGAGGCGGTGGCATTCCAGGCAGGTCAGAGCTAGAGCTCGTTGATGCCATATTTGCATCAGCAGCGGGTGCTTCAACGGGAGCATCATCAGCTGGAGCAGTGGTCGAAACTGAACTTTTCGCGCTGAGACGCTGGCTTCGTCGACGAGTTATTGTAGACGCTGAGCTACCTTCCTGTGGTGTAGAAGATTCTGCCGCGGGTGCGGGAGGTTCAGATCTGCTAGGTTCTCCAGAGCCACTGCCACCACCGCGCGACGATCCTGCGAATCCAGAGGCAGCCAATGCAGCAAGCATCCCTGATAATCGAGAACCACTGCCGGTAAGCAGGCCTGCCACTCGCGGCCGAAGGTAATCATGGAGAGCTTGGAAAGTCGCAATAGCATGTATGGAAACAACAATGTTGTGTAGGTTCCGGGGCACGCCTGAATCATCCTCCGCGACTAGGCGGAGACGGAGCTGACGAGCAAGCAAAGAAGGAGAGCTGCGTTTCGAATCTGGATGCAAAACATCTTTAATATACTTCATAGGCAAAGTAAATTGTATAGCTCACCGTCTGAGCCCTGAGATACTGTGATAACATCGAAAGATTCCATCCTAGTAAAACTCTCTTGCAGCTTTTTGACGAAGGTAGAGAATGGTGTCTGCGAGCTGACTAAAGCTTTCTTTTTCCGACTGACCAACGAATCTAGAAGAAGTTCCTTGCGCCGAGAAAGAGGTACTAGACATGGTTATGTTAAAACAATTGTTCTAATAAACCAAGAATAACATACCTTTGCGCTCCGTATCAGTAGCAAACTTCAACAGACCGTCAACAAGGCCACTCTGCAAAAGCTCAAAGCTGGAGACAGATGTATGAGGCGACGCAAATAGCGCGCTAAGGTTCCATAACGCTTCAGACAACTCTTGTTCAGA